GGTACTGACACAAAGACAGAAATATAGATCAATGGAACAAAATAGAAAGCCCAGAGATAAATCCAAGCACCTATGGACACCTTATCTTTGACAAAGGAGGCAAGAATATACAATTGAGTAAAAACAATCTCTTTAACAAGTGGTGCTGTGAAAACTGGTCAACCACCTGTAGAAGAATGAAACTAGAATACTTTCTAACACCACACACAAAAATAAACTCAAAATGGATTAAAGATCTAAATTTAAGACCAGAAACTATAAAACTCCTACAGGAAAATGTAGGAAAAACACTCTCTGACATAAATCAAAGCAGGATTCTCTATGACCCATCTCACAGAGTAATGGAAATTTAAGCAAAAATAAACAAATGGGACCTAATTAAACTTAAAAGCTTTTGCACAACAAAGGAAACTATTAGCAAGGTGAAAAGACAGACTTCAGAATGGGAGAAAATAACAGTAAAGCAAGCAATTGACAAAGAATTAACCTCAAAAATATATAAGCAGCTCATGCAGCTCAATATCAGAAAATTAAACAACCCAATCAAAAAATGGGCCAAAGAACTAAACAGACATTTCTCCAAAGAAGACATATAGACGGCTAACCAACACATGAAAAGCTGCTCAACATCACTCATTATCAGAGAAATGCAAATCAAAACCACAAAGAGATACCATCTTACACCGATCAGAATGGCTGCCATCAAAAGTCTACATACAATAAATGCCAGAAAAGGTGTGGAGAAAAGGGAACCCTCTAATACTATTGGTGGGAATGCAAACTAGTACAGCCACTATGGAGAACAGTGTGGCGATTCCTTAAAAAACTGCAAATAGAACTGCCATATGACCCAGCAATCCCACTGCTGGGCATACACACTGAGGAAACCAAAACTGAAAGAGACACATGTACCCCAATGTTCACTGCAGCACTGTTTATAATAGCTAGGACATGGAAGCATCCTAAATGTCCACTGGCAGAGAATGGATAAGAATGCTGTGGTAAATATACACAATAGAATATTACTCAGCTATTAAGAAGAACACATTTGAATCAGTTCTAATGAGGTGGTTGAAACTGGAGCCTATTATACAGAATGAAGTCAGAAAGAAAAACACCAATACAATATATTAACACATATATATGGAATTTAGAAAGATGATAACAATGACCCTATATGTGAGAAGCAAAAGAGACAGATATAATGAACAGACTTTTGGAGTCTGGGGGAAACCAAAGGTGGGATGATTTGAGAGAATAGCAATGAAACCTGTCTATCACCATATGTGAAACAGATTGCCAGTTCACGTTCGATGGATGAGACAGGGCACTCAAAGCCAGTGCCCTGGGACAACCCTGATGGATGGGAGGGGGAGGGAGGGAGGGGGCAAGGGGGTTCAGGATGGGGGACACATGTATACCCATCTGAGTCATGTCAATATATGGCAAAAGCCACTACAATATTGTAATGCAATTAGCTTCCAATTAAAATAAATAATTTTAAAAAAAGAGAAGAAAGGATAATATCTCAATAGATGTCTTTGGTAATTAAAGGAGATAATGGTACTTTGGGGCTAGGGAAGTTGCAAGTGATTCTTGGTTTTGATTTTTTTGTTTCAAAGTATTTTATCATTGGGAAGTACATCTTTTTCGGAACAAATTTTAACTTACAGAAACTATGTAAGCTATCTTTTAATCATATATCAATGCTTACCAAACATTCTGTTCAGGTTAAATGTTGTTTCAGTTATTTAAAAAAATCCTGTTACCTAATATAATCACAAACCTTGATGGAACTGAGCTGTTTTTACAGATACATTAACTGGTCTCTTTTACATATAAATTTGAGAACCACTGTCCAAAATAAATGCTGCAGAGCAGTTTCACTTAGTGGTTAATTTTCAGGGGTGGTGGTGAGGGAATGAGTGGCACCCCACTTTTGAAAGCAGTAAGCACATGGGATTTATTTTAAATTCAGATAGAAAAACAGTTAATGATGTATAAATAAAACTATGCTTTACAATTATAATTACTTCAAAAGTAGTTATATCTAAATAACTTGGCAAAATGCTTTAGCAATTACAGAAGCATGATTTTGACAGATGGCAATATTGTTAGACAATGAGAATTGTTAAAAAATACGGATATCTCCTCCTGTTTTACAGTGCTGCAAAATGAAGGTAATGAATTGATATTTTCAGTTAACATAAGTAGTTCACAATAAAGCATTCTAAATCTTAACAGTTTTGGAAGTGCAAATCTAAGATGATAATATCCGTAACCAAATTATTGAATCTTGGTAAATTAAACAGTACTCTGTATAACAACGAAAACATACTTCTGTTGGAGTCTATTACTTTCATGATAATATTCACTAAAAAAACACCATATTTTATTTCAGTGGTTTATTAGCAAAGACACTTAACTTATATAAATTAAATGGCCTTTAAAATTTTACAGTGCCCTTCTTTGACAGGCAATTACTTCATGCAAGCTGATTCAGTTAAATACAACACAGCAGCAGAGTGAATGAACTTCATTCTAGCACTAACCCAAAAGTTGATGCATGAAAAGTTCTAAAATTCTACAGTAAGTAAAGTCGACATGTGAACATCAATTTCAAACTAATGTTTAAAATATTGTTATGTTGGTACTTAAGGAGTACAAGCATCAATATTAGTCATTTCAACTAACATTCATTCCTCATGATCCCTTTTATTTTTAATCCCTATACCACTCTTTACGTTATTTTTTTTTTCTGTTGTTTCTTTTATTTGAATTCTTTGCACTTCTAGTTTTGATCAAGAACCACATGCCCTTTCTTCAGGTCTTTTTTTTTTCGGCTGTGCCTTGGGGCTTGTGGGTGCCATCCAGGGATGGAACCTGGGCCATGGCAATGAAAGCACAGAGTCCTCACCACTAGACTGCCAGGGAATTCCCCACATCCTTATTTTTTATTTAAAAGAATTAACCTGACATGTATGTAATAATAAATACACATAAATACAACATGAAGTTGGAAAGACCCATGGAGCCTAATGTTTCATGGCAATATTCACTTCTCTAAAATCCTGCCACCATCTTTGGTATTCTTAGGTTTCCTCTGCTGAAGCTGTTGAGTTCCTCAATCTTGGCATTTTTGTCACTAATTCCTTTACTTCTCAGCATTTGAAGAAAACACATTTGACAAATACGGTACCTCAAGTTATTTGTTTTGTAATTATATCTCATATCTATTGAACCTTAATTTCAAATGTCAGTAGATTTAAGGTTCATTGTTCTCTCTTAAATCGAATACAGTATTCTTGCATATGTTTTGGTTCATGTTGCATCATATATGACTTAACAATGAAAGGCATCCCCCATTCTATACCGAGAAGCCAAAGGCCATGTAACTTTCCAGTGGAGTCTATACTCTGTCTAGTACATCAACTCCAAACACAACTGGGTTCATAGGATTTGGGGAGTGTTGCACTTCAAGAGCTGCACCAGTTTCCTACAGACAGTTGGTGTTCTCTGAAGTCCAGATCCTTGTGATAGCACGCAAGGGCAAGAAGGCAAAGAAACAACAGCTGACTCCACACTCTACTCCTTAACCCTTAGCACTTGCTAGCTCTGCACTTTTGTTTTTGTGTTTTAGGAGAGATTTAGCCAGTTTGAAATGCCTAAAAGTACTCCTGTGGAAATCAGAAGTATGAAGTTGGATATAACTGCAATTACTTTAAAAAACAGAAATATCAAAGCTGAAAATAAAGGTTTAGAATTCAATAGTATATAGCTGGTACTGAAGGCATGAGACTGGATAAGCTTATAGAAAGAAAAAGGGAAAGCAAGGACAAGAGTAGAGGAGAGGAGGTGGAACAAGTGAAGGAACCCGAGGAGGCAAGTCCAGTGAGACAGGAGGAAAAATCAGGAAAATGGTTTCAGAAAGGCCAAGAGAAGCAAATACCTTAGGAAGATAGAAGTAGACAACAGTGACAAATGCAGCTGAGATGAGATGTCAGAGAAGATACAAGTGGAGAAAAGATCACTAGCCTTTATAAAAGAGCCACTGGTGACTTTGCCAAGAGCCAGAATGGAGAGTTCTCTATAGAGAGAGCATGTAGGGTAGGCAAGTGAAGACAAAGCCTACAAATGAGTCTTAGGTCAGGACCTGCATATACAGAGTGATCCTAAAGGAAATTATACACAGAATACTTTCATTATGAAAGTAATAAACACACCAGGGCACCCTATTTTCATTAATTACTCTGCCCAAGAGAATAAGTGAAGGGGCAACAACTAAAAAAGTGGCTAGATTCCTTTTCCAGTTCTTAAGTGTCAACTGAGAAACTGGAACATCTGTAAGGAAACAATTTCACTCCATTCTCACTCATCAATATGGGCAGATGAAGCCTAGTAACAAATGGGGTGGCAGAGAGCAGGAGTTCAGTCAGTATCAAAGAAGTGGATGGGCAGTTACATAAGTGAAATCCCATAGGTCCTTATTAGTTCATGTGCTTAATTTTCTGGGTGGTTTTGAAGACTTAATGGTGAGAGGTATGTGAAGAGTTTCCAACACAATATCTAGCACATGTCTGGTATTCATTTTTCCAGTTCTTGGTACATCCAAAAATGATCTCCACATTCAAGTTCAATGATGAGAAAGAATGCCTATTGTTTAGCAAGATACTGAAAGATGCTTCTTCACCCAAATCCTGACAGCTAAATCTTAAGGCTTCTAAGGCTCACTGCACCCTAACTGTCATGGCATCTGAGTCCTTCCCTTTCTGTAAGTACCTCCAATAGATTCTATGGACAAGAGGCATCATGAAGACAACTTTGAAACAAGCAAGCAGACAGGCAAACTCCATCCACCCCATCAGCTGCTTTGTTAGCAAGGTTCCCCAATGTGTAAAGTGAAAACTGAAATGGGGGAGAAGGGAACAGAACAGAGTCAGAGAAACATGACCCAAAGTAAAAATCATCTCTATCTGGAGCTCACAAAAGATCTGGGTTACCGTCGGCTGCAAACTGCTGCTCTCCTGGCTGTAAGTCTTGCCGGAAGTCATTCTCCTCATCTGAGTCATCTGGGTGATGGTGATTGTTGTCGTGGATGTTGGCATTATTCTGGGCATTATTATCATTGTCATTGTTGGAGTTCTGATTGCTAACAAGGGCCGAGGAAACCCCAATTCCTGTGCCTGCACTCAGACCAACCCGAGCACAGCCCTGAAGCAAGACGAAACCACATGCTTATTAATTTGGGTTAGAATAAAACAATGCAGTTTTAATATTCCTTCATTTCATCTTTACATAGAATACTTATATAGCACTTTATGAAATACTTTCACCTATTCATAAAGAACCTCATTTAAGGTCCACAACACCTCAAGCAAGACAAAGTTATTAGTCTTGATTTACAGATGATGACATGCACGATGGGAAGGGATCTGCCCAACAGTGCATGACCAGTATGTGGTAGAGCTGAGACTTGAAATCCAATAATTTGTCCTCAAACCCTGAGCTTTCCCTACTATACGGCACTGCTTCAACAGTGAGGGTATAACCATTAAGAATTGACGAGAACCTAATTCGTTGAAACATTAAGTTTCTACTGCAATAAGTTAAGTTTCTACATACATTAAGAAGTTTTAAAATAACATTTTGTACAACTGGGCAACTTCAGATTTCCCCAGATATCTAACTGAATAGCAAAAGTAGCAGCAAAAGAAAACATCCAAAATAAGTTCCTAATCCTTACTTAGATGTTGGGTTGCTAGTTAGAGATCTAATCTTTCAACTAACTCCTCTAAGTAATAATTTTTGCTTTAGCTCAAATTTCCACTTTTGCTCTTACATTAACTTTATAAACCTGATGGAGACAGCTTTCCACTTACTTTTTCCTTTATCTGGAAACCCCTTAGTACTCACTCACAAGAACCTGTGGCCATTCATTATTATAACCTTTATGCCTTCCTTCACAGAGGCTAGCAGTAAAAGTCAAATTATATCATTTGTAAAGGCATATCATTAGGGAAAAAATTACTTAGGTTGTTTTCTTGAGTAAAAAACTCTTTCAAATGTGACTTACTTTGGGCGGTTCACGAAACATCTGGTCCAGTGAAATAAACTCCAAGCTAGGCAATAATTCAATAAACTGGCCGAAGGAGTCCAGCTTCAAAGCATGGCAACGCACTAAGTTGATATCAACCAATCGAGTCCACCTTGAGTGGTCTGTTGAAGAAATGACATGGCCAGAGAAAATACGTAACTAACACTTTCTCCATTACTCATGAATTTTGCCATAGGTCACAAAGACTTTCCAACCCATTTTCTTTGTGTAAATTTTATCTTATTTCATGATCTCTAATACTTAATGACTCTATGATGTCTCCTTACCCAATTTCATGAGAACCAGATGGACTAGAAATCGTTAACTTAAAAGTAAGTCTGTCTTTGTTTAAATGTGATTCACTTAAAACCTACATGCCTATTTAACTACAGGACACTAGTTAAAAGAAATGTTGGTGTATTCCTTTAATAAAACATTACGTAGCTACTAAAAGAATGAAGAACTGAATAAGCTTGCTAATATGGAAAGCTCTCCAAAAATTCTCAGTGCAAAATACAAGTTACAGGACAATGTATATACATAGTAAGGTCCTTATGTATACATAAATCATTTTTAAATGCTATACATGTATAGGCTGCAAATGCACAAAATAACCTGTCCAGAAGAATATACGAGAAACCATCGATGGTGGTTACCTTTGAGAAGAGGAGGCCTTTCATTTTGTACCTTTCTGTACTGTTTGATACTGTTTATCAAGTGCATGTATTACTTTTAGTTTTTAAGTGTTAACAGGAGTTCTGAGTGATGTGATTATAGGCCATTTTTTATTTTCTTCTTTATACTCTTCTGTATTTAAGAAAACAAACAAACCAAAAACCCAATAAATGTTATTTTTTTAAAGTGATCTATGCCGGCTACAACCTAAAATTTGTACTTTCCAATAGCTTTCTGGTGCAGCTGGGCAAGGGGTAGAACTTCTTCTCATGGGTGAGACATGGCCACTCTAATGAGTGATCTCAGCAGAGGCTCAGGAGCCTTGCAACATGTCTGGAGGTGGGTTTTGTGTGGAGCTGTAGCATCCCTGTGTGGTGGCTCAGACAGCTGTCAGTGGTGGTTTGCAGCTGTCAGTCAGAGGGCCTGGTTTGGTATGAGGATGTCAAAATGAAACGTCTCTAGCTCTAACTTTATTAAAGGCTTGTGAATTTAGATATTTAGGAAGTGCCTTAAAAAAAATAAACAGCATTACTCCCTTAGGGGGGCGGGGGGAATAAAACTCCTCTCATAAGGAAAAATACCAAGTGCAACAATCACACTTCTGTACCCAAGGGATCAGGCCAGGGAGATATCATCTGAAGTAGCCTAAAATTTTAAGGTAATAGAAAATTTCACTACATGTTTAGTATGTCACCTAATTCAAGTTTTTAAAATACATACCTACTTTGTTCAGATGATATGCCATTTTAAGGTAACACAGAGAAAACAACCATAATATCCCAGACGACAATTCCTAAGCTTAATTTTACGTGCCCGGCCCAAAGAAAAACACATAATAATTAGCGCGACTGAATCTATTATCTCGACAGTGCAAATTTCTAGGCAGAGAATCTCAGGAGTTCAAAGAGGCATTGAAAGTATTTCCAACTCAGTTATCAAAGGCTCCCAGAGCCTCTATGAACAATCTATATAAAAATCTACATTTTACATGAGGAATGTTAATTAATTCCATACAGAAAACAAAGATATGTATTATTTTGACATCAATAAAATATAGCTGTATTTAAGATACAGTACCTGAGATCCAATTGTATGGGTTATGTAGATGGGGGCAATTATAAATTGCCAGATATTTGATACAGGAGAAAACTTCATTGACTGCCTTCATCCCTATATCAGTGATAATACCAGGATTTTCCACCACATCAGCCAAACCATACTTCACCAGATCTGCATTAGCCATTCTGCCTAGAAAGAGATTTAAAAAACAAAAAAGATTCTTAAGTGTCATGGAATCTTGACAACTTAAATTGTCAACTCTTTAACATCCAGTATGATTACTCTCTATGATCATCCTGCTTCATCTGTCCATCGTCAGGTTCAGATACAATCTTAGGTTAGGTATTCTGTACAAACGGTAGCCTTTATTTTGCAAAATAAAAATTTATGTTAAAAGTTAAGGGAGTGAAGTAAGCCAGAAAGATAAAGACCATTACAGTATACTAACACATATATATGGAATTTAGAAAGATGGTAACGATAACCCTATATGCAAAACAGAAAAAGAGACACAGATGTATAGAACAGACTTTTGGACTCTGTGGGAGAAGGCGAGGGTGGGATGTTTCAAGAGAACAGCATCGAAACATGTATATTATCTAGGGTGAAACAGATCACCAGCCCAGGTTGGATGCATGAGACAAGTGCTCGGGCCTGGTGCACTGGGAAGACCCAGAGGGAGCGGGCAGAGAGGGAGGTGAGAGGGGGGGATTGGGATGGGGAATACATGTAAATCCATGGCTGATTCATGTCAATGTATGACAAAAACCACTACAATACTGTAAAGTAATTAGCCTCCAACTAATAAAAATAAATGAAAAAAAAAACAGTTAAGGGATAGCTAGCAGATTATTTTCAATAGTCTAGGAAAGGAAAAAAAGAATGTAAAGTCTTAAAGCAAAACTGATGGATACATTGTACTGGTTTACACTTATGGTGAAGTTTTATTAGCTTTCAAAAAGAAAAATAAAATCTTCAAAATGTAACTCTCTGGGACTTCCCTGGTGGCCCAGTGGTAAAGAATCCACCCTGCAATGCAATGGATGTGGCTTTGATCCCTGGTTGGGGAAAGAAGATCCTACAAGCCATGGAGCAACTAAACCCACACGCCACAACAGCAGAGTCTGTGTGATGCACTGAAAGATCTCGCATGATGCCATGAACAACAATTTAGACCCAATTTAGACACAGCCAAAGTAATTATTTAAAATGTAACTCTTTCACTCTATAAGGATAATGTTTTTCAAATCAGGTGTGGCCATGTGCAGAGAAGAGTGAATTTTGAGAATTTGGATCCATTTTTAGATCTACAGTATTGGTTAGTAAATATTTATAACTTAGAGAGTGGACTTTAACTCAAACACACATATCCATTCTCTCTGTCCTTGGGCTTTAGGGTCTACTGTCTTGTCAGAGAGTAGGGGCTGGGTTTAGTAAAAAATGATCCGCCAGTCTAGATTATGCCACTGGATATCACACTGTGTCCCTTGCTTCCTATTATTATTCCTGCCACCTGCCTGATCTTTACTCTATAGGATGGTCCACTTTACTACGAGCAATCTGAAGGAAAACTAGACTCTGCCTCGTTAGTTTACAGTTACACTTTCAATGTATAATACTGGGATATTTCCATCATAATACTGGGATATAGGAAACCAATAAATGTCTCTCACAATCCCAGCAATCAAAACTGACACAAACTACAAAGAAAACACTGTTGCTCTGGTGAAGCTGTCCTGCCCATTACTGGGATTTACTCCCAACTCTTTTAAATTTCTCTTTCCATATAATTCATGGTCTTGCTCCTAGGGTCCCTGTTTTTTGTATTTACTGCCATTCTTGGACATTTCACCTTAACCAATTCTTCATAATTTTGCTGAGAAAATTGATACTTTTTGAACTGTGGTGTTGGAGAAGACTCTTGAGAGGCCCTTGGACTGCAAGGAGATCCAACCAGTCCATCCTAAAGGAGATCAGTCCTGGATGTTCATTGGAAGGACTGATGTTGAAGCTGAAACTCCAATACTTTGGCCACCTGGTGTGAAGAACTAACTCATTGAAAAGACCCTGATGCTGGGAAAGATTGAAGGTGGGAAGAAAAGGGGACAACAGAGGATGAGATGGTTGGATGGCATCACTGACTCAATGGACATGAAATTGAGTAAACTCTGGGAATTGGTGATGGACAGGGAGGCCTGGTGTGCTGTGGTTCATGGGGTTGCAAAGAGTTGAACACAACTGAACTGAAAGAATTTAAAATACATAAATTCTAATTTATGTATTTAGAATACAAAAAGAACTAATACTAGTGAGAAAAAGTCAGAAACAATAGGAAAAATAGGAATACGCCTGGTAAAGACTTTGTTCTTGCCCTGTGAACTATAATTTGCCTTTTCCCTATGATCAGGTTCATCTTGAATTCATCCCAAGTGGGTGTTTCCAGCATTACTGCTGCAGCCTAACATGATAAATCCATGTCTTACATTCATTCCTTTCAGACCTGTTCCTATTTTTAGGGTCTCCTGATTGTCACACTTCTTCAGAACCCTGATCACATCACCTAGGACTTAGATTCTTTTTCCTTCAGCCAGAGGTCAGCTAGAAGTAAAAGCTACCAGTTACTGAACTTTTTTTTTTTTTTTGAGATTTACGTATTTTACTTATGGCTGCACTGGGTCTTCTTGCTGCACACAGGCTTTCTCTAGTTGTGGTGAGCTACTCTTTGTTATGGTGCTTTGAACTACTCTGAGTGAGGACTCCTCTTTGTTGCGGTCCATGGGCTTCTCATCGCGGTAGCTTCCCGTTCAGCACAGGCTCTAGGGCACTTGGGCTCCAGCAGTTGTGGCTCGAGGGCTCCAGAGTGCTGGCTCAGTAGTTGTGGCACACAGACTTAGTTGCTCAGAGGCATGTGGGATCTTCCTGGACCAGGGATTGAACCCACATCCCCTGCACTGGCTCTTTACCACTGAGCCACCAGGGAAGCCCTACTGAATGCTTTCTAAGTGTAAGAGATTATAAAAGTCCATGTTTTCTCACTTGTCAAATGGATATAAGACCGTTTTCTACTTTTTTATTGGATGATTTGAAGGCAAGAAATGATTTGCCCCAGGTCCCATGAGTAATAAAATTCCATCTCATTCCTTCTTTCCAAAGTCCCAACACTGAAGACTATTCTATACTTCTCCTGAATCGGAATGAATTTTACACCCCAACCTTCCCACAAAGCTCTGAAATCATGAATCCACGTAAACAAAGGACCCCTCTCTAAGTATTCATCCTTGGATCACTTTTCTTACATTCCTAGTACACAGCATCTACTTTTCAGCACATCCATTTCCCCAACCTGGCACTGCCACTTTTACCATAAACGTATGGGGACAAAGGTGATATTTCTATATTTTGCCAGAATCTCTGGAACAAAGAACTGATGGAAGTTTTACCAGGAGCCACCCCAACCTCCTGGAAAGATGTTTCAAAATCTAAATGGCTGAGAGGCAAGAGATAAAGTGACAGAGTGTAAGCAGTGACCTGTAATCTCTCCATGTTTGTTAGAGGCACCTGGCAGCCATTCTCATACAGAGAATCCCAGACTTAACTTTGGAGTAACAGAGGAAAGTACATATATAAGGAGAAATGGGTGAACTGTAGCAAATATGAAGAATGACTTATAAAAGGATAACTAAGAGATTATTAAGTATAAAGAAGACTATGAAATAAGCTATGTTGCAAAACATAAGATAATAGTAGTCAAAAAGTGAAGTGTTTTCAAATGAAAGTGTGTGTTGACGGGAAGCAAACACTACTGAGAAATAGCTGGTTATAAAGACAATTCTCAGTGGACCTAAAATATAGTCATCATCAAATGACTACACAAATTCCATCAAGTTTTTAGCTTTTAGGAAGAACAAAAACAAGACTTCAGAAAAAACACCAATTACCAATAATAACTTTAACTATTACTATTAACTTAAAATTTTAAGTTACTATATAGTAATATATGTAACATATTTTCAGTTCCTATATAATAACTTAAAATTATTAGCTTAACAAAATTAAGCTAAAGCTAATAATTTTCAGTTACTATATACACTTGTAGAAACAGAGAATGTTAGCAACTTCACTGAAAAAGGAAAAACAACAGTCATATTGTTTGATCTGGATTGTCTTAAGAAATCAAGGTTGCTGAGAGAAATCTCAGATATGCAGATGATACCACTCTAATGGTAAAAAGGTGAAGAGGAACTAAAGAGCCTCTTAATGAGGGTTAAAGAGAGTGAAAAAGCTGACTTGAAACTCAAACGTTAAAAAAACTAAGATCATGGCATCTAGTCCCATCATTTCATGGCAAATAGAAGGGGAAAAAGTGGAAGCAGTGACAGATTTTATTTTCTTGGGCTCCAAAATCACTGTGGATGGTGACTGCAACCCTGAAATTAAAATATCCTTGCTCCTTGGAAGAAAAGCAATGACAAACCTAGACAGTGTATTCAAAAGTAGAGACATCACTTTGCCAACAAATGTCCATATAGTCAAAACTATGGTTTTTCTAGTAGCCATGTACAGACATGAGAGGTGAACCATAAAGGCTAAGTGTTGAAGAGCTGATGCTTTTGAACTGTGGTGCAGAAGACTCTTGAGAATCCCTTGGACTACAAAGAGGTCAAACCAGTCAATCCTAAAGAAAATCAACTCTGAATATTAACTGAAAGGACTGATGCTAAAGCTGTAATAATTTTGGCCACCTGATGCAAAGAGTCGCCTCACTGAAAAAGACCCTGATGCTGGGAAAGACTGAAGGCAAAACAAGGGGGGCAGCAGAGGATCAGATGGTTAGACAGTATCACTGACTCAACGCATCTGAGCAAAACTCCAGGACATGAATTTGACCAAACTCCAGGAGACAGTGGAGGACAGAGGAGCCTGGCATGCTGCACTCCATGGGGTTGTAAAGAGTTGCCCATGACTCAGCAACTGAACAACAAAAACAACAAAGCCCTCATGTTGTTACAATGCAAATTAGATCCAAAGAAAAAACGCCACCTGGTATGACACTGAGATTTTAACAAAGACTTGTTATAAGTTACATGAGTAAGAAACCAATTCTTGCAAAAATAAAAACACGCTGATGGTGTAAATGTTCTTGCATGTCTGACTACTGTCATGTGGGAAAAAGTTTGAATAGTGAACTGACATGCATTCAAACCCAAAGGATTGAGTTCCCAATTTTAAATACATTCCAGAAAATGCTGTGAACAAGCCTCCCAACAGCAGTTATCATTAAATGAATACTGATCAAAGTATGCTAACACTATCAGAAAATCCAGAATCCCCAGCAGGCTTATTATGAAAATGAAGAGCAGGGGTAGGGCCTGGGACCTCATCTGAGAGGACCATCAAAAGCTTCAAGAAGTGTGGTAGATCAAATTCAGCAAATAGAAGCAAGGATGACATTCTGTGGAAACAATGAAGTACAATGGGAAAGAAACTTGGGGAGCAAAGTGGAGACAATATCAAATGTAGGTAAGGATCTTTTTTTGGGTAGACAACCACTTCGTTTTCTGCAATATGCTAAAATCAGAGGCAATATAGAAAAAAAAAAATCACTGGCACTTCAAGTTCAAATTTTTCAAGAAGTGAGAGCACCTGAGATTTTAAGCATTTTTATGTCTAAGAAAATAATGGCACATCCAAATTTAGGGTTCACTTTGTCACGTAAGTTCCCAACAATAATTTTAGGGGAGTAAATGAGCTAATTCTTACTCTGCAGCAAAAACTCATCTACATATCCCAGATGAAGGGTTTCAAACTGGGGGAATTCCAACTCTGCCATCTTTAGAGCGGAAAAGACGCCATCTTTGGTTAGGGAAGGCTGGATCCGAACTTCATGTAACCTATGAACAAGAGACACATAAAAGAATAAAATGAAAGCCATCAGAATAGAAGATTCTTCCTAATGTAAGGCTCTGAAGAAGTTTATCGTACCGAAGTGTCAAATGCAAAAACACTGCCTCCTCCATGAAAAAATATCAGAAATGCTTCCTTTAAAAGAGCATTTTATAAAAGTGAGGGCACATCTCATGTGTACACTAAAGTCACAGTAAGAATGACTTATAATAATCTTATATCCTTTTTGGTAATTTCCTAAACCTGATTAAGTCAAGGCAAGAATCTGGTATTTCTTTAATACCTTTTAGAGGCTAATATTAAGTCCCATTTTTAACAAAGAATATAGTCCTATAGTAGGTAACAATATCTATTCGCTTAAATACAGATTTATACTCTTCATATTCTATGATGGAAAGGAAGAGTTTAATTTTTTAAAATTCAATTTAAATATTATAAAAGTAAAAGCAGAGGTAGACTATTGATATGCGGGAAATAGTAAATATGGCATCAAGTGATGTGAAGATAGGTTAAAAATTTTAAAGTGTTAAAGGTCAGGATGCTGAAAATGCTGACTTAAGACAGTGGTTTCTAAACAGCAATTATCACCAACTAAGTTCAGAAAACTGTCCCGAGGGTGAAACAATGGCTCCTGAGCAAGTATCAGTACTGACTTCTGTTGGAATCTCAGGCACTTCCAGGTAACTGGCAGCTTTTCTCTGATGAGATCATGCCCATGTTAACACTTACTGGGTCTGGAGCGCAGCTCAGTTGGTCATCAGTTGTATAGAAGACTTCCCCTAAATGATAACCTACTGCTATTTAAACAACTTCTCTGTATTTTAAATCTGAAAAAGTCATATCAAACATCATATATATATTCTGCCAATTTTTATAAAACAGAAAAAAACACAGTTCTGACCCAATGTGAAAAGAAAACATACCTACGGGCAGCAGTGATGATGAGGTAACCAAGATCTACTTCAAGTGCATTTTTACAAGCTCCCAAAACAATAGTGTGCAAATTTCGAAAACCACCTAGTTAAAGGCAAAAAGGAACAAAAACAATTATCATCCCATTTGACCATAGCACTTTCTTTTTCTTTTTTCATTTAATTTTATTAGTTGGAAGCTAATTACTTTACAATATTGTAGTGTTTTTGCCATACATTGACTGAATCAGCCATGATTTACATGTGTTTGCCACGCTGATCCCCCCTCCCACTTCCCTCCCCATCTCTTCCTTTTGGGTCTTCCCAGTGCACCAGCCCTGAGCACTTGTCTCATGCATCCAACCTGGGCTGGTGATCTGTTTCACCCTTGATAGTATACTTGTTTCAATGCTGTTCTCTCAGATCATCCCACCCTCGCCTTATCCCAGAGTCCGAAAGTCTGTCCTATACATCTATGTCTTTTTCTGTCCTGCATATAGGGTTATTATTACCATCTTTTTAAATTCCATATATATGCGTTAGTATACTGTATTGGTCTTTATCTTTCTGGCTTACTTCACTCTGTATAATGGGCTCCAGTTTCATCCATCTCATTAGAACTGATTCAAATGTATTCTTTTTAATGGCTGAGTAATATTCCATTGTGTATATGTACCATAGCTTTCTTATCCATTCGTCTGCTGATGGGCATATAGGTTGCTTCCATGTCCTGGCTATTACAAACAGTGCTGCGATGAGCACTGGGGTACACGTGTCTCTTTCAGATCTGGTTTCCTTGGTGTGTATGCCCAGAAGTGGGATTGCTGGG